GTTGAGTTGCGGCTTGTTTCCTTTGTGTTGTGCTAATTTCGTTGTGTTGCACCTTGTTTCTGTTGTGTTGCACCTTGTTTCTGTTGTGTCGCGGCTTGTTTCCATTGTGTTGTGGCTTGCTTCCTTTGTGTTGTGCTAATTTCGTTGTGTTGCACCTTGTTTCTGTTGTGTTGCGGCTTGTATCCATTGTGTTGTGGCTTGTTTCCGTTGTGTTGCACCTTGTTTCTGTTGTGTTGCACCTTGTTTCTGTTGTGTCGCGGCTTGTTTCCATTGTGTTGTGGCTTGCTTCCTTTGTGTTGTGCTAATTTCGTTGTGTTGCACCTTGTTTCTGTTGTGTTGCGGCTTGTATCCATTGTGTTGTGGCTTGTTTCCGTTGTGTTGCACCTTGTTTCTGTTGTGTTGCACCTTGTTTCTGTTGTGTCGCGGCTTGTTTCCATTGTGTTGTGGCTTGCTTCCTTTGTGTTGTGCTAATTTCGTTGTGTTGCACCTTGTTTCTGTTGTGTTGCGGCTTGTATCCATTGTGTTGTGGCTTGTTTCCGTTGTGTTGCACCTTGTTTCTGTTGTGTTGCACCTTGTTTCTGTTGTGTCGCGGCTTGTTTCCATTGTGTTGTGGCTTGCTTCCTTTGTGTTGTGCTAATTTCGTTGTGTTGCACCTTGTTTCTGTTGTGTTGCGGCTTGCTTCCTTTGTGTTGTGCTAATTTTGTTGTGTTGCACCTTGTTTCTGTTGTGCTGTGCTAATTTCGTTGTGTTGTGGCTTGTTTCTGTTGTGTTGCGGCTTGTTTCCGTTGTGTTGTGACTTTTTGCATTGTGTTGCCACTTGTTTCCATTGTGTTGTGGCTTGATTCTGTTGTGTTGTGGCTTGTTTCCGTTGTGTTGTACTAATTTCATTGTGTTGCACTAGGCCTGTCACAATAATCAATATATCGACTTATCGCGCAATATATATATACATGACCTCAATCATTTTTGGTGACACAATATATCACCCATTATATTTACTTAAAATGTATGTCACCATGTTTTGTACATTCCACTTGTGCCTATGTCTTTTGCAGCTTCTTGTACATAACGTGGTGTAGTCATGAGGTGCTAGTTCAAATTTAAAAAGTACTTCTACAAAAAAAAGTTTAATCTTCAGATATGGCCTTGTTTAGGGATTGGTGCCTTTGTGCATATGGACATCTGACTGCTAAGTAGTGATTGTGTTTTTCAGCAATAGTGTGCACCCTCAATTTACAGAGAAAAGAAGGTCAGAAAAAAATATGTAAGTTCTTTGTGCATTTTTCTTTTTTTGTACTTGTTACTTTGCACTTTTTGTTAGAAAATGTTTATTTACTATTTATTCAGGTTTTTTAAGGCATATCATATTTTGATACTTAATTTCCATGATCTAAATATTCTTAAAAATTTAAAGTTTGTTGTTATTTGGAAGTGTGTAGGCCTTCTTGCATTATTATGCTGTTACATTATGATTATATATTCAGTAGCATAAAATGGTCTTTAATATGACAATAATATCGCTTATCGCAATTATTTCTGGGGCAATATATCGCACAACAAAAAGTTGTTATCGTGACAGGCCTATGTTGCAACTTGTTTCCGTTGTGTTTCCGTGTTGTGAAGATTTCATTGTGTTGTGCACTACTGGGCCACCGTACGTGTGACTTTTAGCAACAACCCCAAATATAAATGTATATATAATGTGAACATGCTATTTATACAGTACACTAAACGAAAATAATATTATTTCTAAACTGAATCAAGATTTACATTAAAACCAATATTTGCAATATGTGCAAAATTTAGACTTAAAATAAACTTTGAAATTCTAAATATCAACCTAATGATCGGCCTGATCGATACCACTAGGAAAGGGCTCACAAAAGCAAACATCTCAAATCACCACTTCTCCTCATGCTTCTTCTAGTCAATCATGCCGTTCATTCTTGCTCAAGTTTAGACTCAAAACCCCCATTTGCCCTTCACACACTCAAGGATGGTCAAACTCCCATTGAGCCAAGCAAGCCTAATATAAGCCATTTAGATGTTTGGAAAGGCTTACCCTTTTCAGCGCTCAAAGCTCCATTAGATAAAGAGGAGCAGGGCAGGCTAATTAGAGTCTGACCGTTTGGCCATTCTAGAGCAAAGATTCATTTGCACTGGTCTTAAAATCGGCCTCTCTCTCTCTCTTTCTCTCTCCACCTAATAGAAAAATAAGCTACTTCACTCTGCATCGCTGGCAGTGACACCTGCGATGGAGGGAGTAATGGTGTTTAATGGCCTTTTAAATTTTTATTCAGTCTGAGAATCATAAAAGAGGAACCAGGCAGCCACTGGATCTCTTAATAATCGCAATGCTATGGCAACCAAAAGCAAGCTCAGCCGTCAGACTTTAGGTGGCTCACAGATCCACACCTGCTCTCGGTTCTCGTGTTGGGAGAAATGCAGAGATATCAAGCAAAAGGCAAGTTTCTACATTTCTGCAAGGTCACCAGTGGTGTTGTGGTGATCCTAATAATAGACGTTTTAAAGTTTAAGTGCTGCCCAGGGGTCTTGCGTGTGTTCATTAGGAATCACGGCCTGCTTGGCCAACACAGCAAGGAATAGACATTAATAAGGCAGAGGGGAAAAAAGGAAAGGACCAAGAGGGAGGGAAATGGAGGAAGTGTGTTTAAGTTTTGGAAGGCTGCAACTGTGTGTTTGCACTCCCTGGCAGGGGGAGACAACTCCAGATCTG